CTATGCTGACAAAAATGAGATCACCAGTACTGGAAGAGGTTGAGAAGTTATTATTGGTGTGGATAAATGAGAAACAATTAGCAGGAGATAATCTTATGACTTCGTTTATTTGTGAAAAGGCTAGGCAGTTGCATGAAGATTTGGTAAAGAAATTGCCTGCAAATAGTGGTGAAGTGAGTGGATTTAAGGCCAGCAAAGGCTGGTTTGAGAGATTTAAGAACCGTACTGGCATACACAGTGTGGTAAGGCATGGTGAGGCTGCCAGTTCGGACCACAAGGCTGCTGAAAAATATGTGCATGAATTCCAGGAGTACATGAACAGTGAAGGACTGAAACCTGAACAAGTGTTCAATTGTGACGAAACAGGCCTCTTTTGGAAGAAAATGCCAAAGAGGACCTTCATTACACAAGAGGAAAAGGCAATGCCAGGACATAAGCCTATGAAAGACAGGCTGACGCTGATGTTCTGCGCTAATGCTAGTGGGGATTTCAAAGTGAAGCCATTACTAGTGTACCATTCTGAAAATCCCAGAGTGTTCAGGAAAAACAATGTTATGAAGAGTAAATTGTGTGTGTTTTGGAAATCTAATAGTAAGGCATGGGTCACGAGGGAAATTTTCGTCGAGTGGTTCAATGAAGTGTTTGGCCTTAGTGTGAAGGAGTATCTCCTGGAAAAGAAATTGAATCTCAAGTGCATGCTAGTAATGGACAATGCACCTGCTCATCCTCCAAACTTGGATGACCTAATTTTCCAGGAGTCTGGGTTCATCACAGTAAAGTTCTTGCCCCCGAATACCACTCCTCTCCTCCAACCCATGGACCAGCAGGTTATTGCAAACTTTAAAAAACTACACCAAAGCAATGTTTCACAGGTGCTTGACTGTGACCACAGACACTCACTTGACCCTAAGGGAATTTTGGAGAGAACACTTCAGCATCCTCCACTGCATAACCCTTATAGGTATGGCTTGGGAGGGAGTGACTACCAGGACTTTGAACTCTGCCTGGAGAAAATTGTGGCCAGATTGTGTCGACAAGAGGGATTTTGAAGGATTTGGGACTGACTCTAATGAGCCTATGTCTGTTGTAAAATCAATTGTGGCACTGGGGAGTTCCATGGGGTTGGATGTGAGTTTGGAGGATGAGGAAGAATTGGTGGAAGACCACAATGAAGAGCTCACCACTGAGTAGCTGCAAGAGCTTCAGCAGGAAGAGCAACACATCGCAGCTCAGAATCTTGCTGCCGAGGAGGAGGAAGAGAGATGGAAGAAGGTGCCTTCTTCAGAAATTAAAGAGATTTTTACTATGTGGGGTAAGATGGAAAGCTTTATGGAGAAACATCACCCTCACAAGGTTGTTGCAAGCCAGGTTGGCAACATGTACAGTGACAAAGTCTTGGGCCATTTTAGGGAAGTGTTAGAGACACCAGAAACAGAGCTCTCTCCACAGTTGTTTTGTGAGACAGGACTCCAGTGACTCTCAAGGTGGTCCTAGTGGCATTAAGAAACAGAGAAGAGAAGCAACCCCAGAAAAGCAAATGGTACCTGAGGTGTTGCTGGAAGGGGATTCCCCTTCCAAACTATAAACAATCCACTCTCTCTCTTCCTCCAGTCTCCAATACACTAAGAAGAATGTCCAATAAAGGTAAGTGTTATGCTGTTAATGTTTCATTCATCATTTCCCATTGTATTGTTTATGTACTACATGTATATTTCATGTTAAAAATTTTTTTGTTTTAATACTTCTGGGTGTCAGGAATGGATTAATTGTATTTACATTATTTCTTATGGGGAAAATTGATTCGTAAATTGTAAATTTCGTTTATAGTAACGGCTCCAGGAACGGATTAATTACGAACAACGAGGGACCACTGTATATGTATACTATTTCATGTAAAAAATTTTTTTGTTTTAATACTTCTGGGTGTCAGGAATGGATTAATTGTATTTACATTATTTCTTATGGGGAAAATTGATTCACAAATCATAAATTTCATTTATAGTAATGGCTCCAGGAACGGATTAATTATGAAAAACGAGGGACAACTGTACAAAGATAGCCACTATCATGCCGAGGCATTTTGGGTCAACTAGTCCTAATATATAGTAATTAATTAAAACTAGATAAGAGAATAGTACATGGTAATTATACTTAAAACTAAACATGGAATAGTGGTTAGCTGTTTTACAATCTTATGTGGACTTAATAAATCTTGTGTATACTTAGTACAAAATCTAATTTACAAGCAATGGTGCAGGTGGTAATATTTTATGGAATGGCAGAATTAAAAGCCAGGTGGTCACATGATAAAACTAGTCAGTAGATGTTTGGTTGATTCGGTTAACCCTTTGAGGGTCGACAGGCCCTCTCCGAAACTCGTTCTCAGGGTCGGCCAAATTTAAAAAAAAAAAAAAATTATTTTCTCTTATGAAAAGATAGAGAATCTTTTCCCGATCATAAAGACACCAAAAGTTTGAAATTTGATAGAAAACTTACGGAATTATGCTCTCGCAAAGTTAGCGGTCTCGGCGATGTTTACGCATTGGCGATTTTGCCCACTTTGAGCCCCATTTTCGGCCAATTTCACTGTACTAGTCGACAAAAAACATGAATATTTCGCTAGAACTCCATTTTTTCTATCGAATGGGTGCAAGAAACCACCCATTTATGAAATTCAACTATCCAGTACAGTGGTCAGAATTTAGCAATTTTGCCAATTTCACACAAATTTCAAAAGATGCCAATTTCCGAATAGGGTCCAGAATAAACAAGAAAGACATCCTGGCACTAAAATGACATTTCCTCTAGTCATTAGTCACGTCTCAAGGCCCCTCTTATATTCTTTGCTTTCCACTTTGAATTTTTATTCTCACAAAAAATATAAGATTTTCTGTTATGCAGACTACTGCATTAGTGTAAAAAATGGTATAAATATTATTGGTGCACTTGTGAAAGAATATTAGACTCACCAATTGACATGTATTGCACGCTTGGCACGATTTGTTTACTTTTGAAGTTTGGTAAAAATCGAACATTTCTGCTACTTTGAGCTCAATTTCAAGGCACCTTTCATTGTAAAACCAGTCAAAATCATCTCAATTTCTGTAATATGTCTTCCATTCTATAAAATGAGACCAAGAAAACTAGAATACAACAATAAATACCATACGAAAATACACTGCAAAGTCGCTGATTTATTCCAAGAAAAATGGTCGAAGTTTTTTTTTTCTCATTATGCACTGTGTGCTGCAGGATTTTTTTTAGACTGTGCACACTGACCACATAGACCCATTGTTTCATATGAAGGCCTACCAGCTTTCTCCCACTAGATTTGAGGCCGCTAGAATTTATGCGTACTAGTACGTCAAAAACCCCTACGCGTAAGACGTACTAGTACGACCAAAACCCTCAAAGGGTTAATATTGTGAGATATGATGATTTTTTAGCTGTCTAGGGATCCTTGACCTGTTCCGGTAGCGAGTTCCAGATCTTCGGGGGGCCTTTTATGTGCATAGCGTTCTTGCATAGTGAGAGTCTTACTCGAGGGATGTTGAAAAGTGACTTATGCCTTGTATTGTGACTGTGCATTCTGTTGTAACTGTCGAGGAGTAGTTTTAGGTGAGGGTTTACAGTGGAGTTTAAAGTTCTGTATATGTAGCAGGCACAATAAGAAGAATGTATGTCTTGTATATTTAGCAAGTTGAGTCGTTTGAAAAGTGATGGGGTGTGCTGTCTAGCACTAGAGCTGGTTATCACCCGCTCAGCAGCTTTTTTTTGGATTATTAAAGGTCTAAGGTGGTTGGCAGTGGTTGAGCCCCAGGCACAGATACCATAGGTGAGGTAAGGATATATTAGAGAGTGGTACAGGGTAAGGAGAGTCGTTTGTGGTACATAGTAGCATATCTTGGAAAGGATTCCTACTGATTTGGAAATTTTCTTGGCTATGTGGTGGGTATGGGACTGAAATTTAAGATTACAGTCAAGGAGAAGACCTAGAAATTTGCACTGTGTGTGTCTTGATATAGGGGAACCATTTAACAATATGTCGAGTTGAATATTTGAGACTCTGTTGCCAAACAGCATGAAGTATGTTTTGTCTGTTGAGAGTGAATTTGTTGGTCATCATCCAAGCATATATCTTTAGCAGTTCATTGTTTACAGTGTTTTCAAGCACAGCTGGGTTTGAATGGGAGTAGACATATGTAGTGTCATATGCTAATAGAACTGGTGTAAGGAGTTTGGGAGGCATTGGGGAGATCATTGATGTAGATGAGAAAGAGGAGTGGGCCTAGGACACTACCTTGGGGTACTCCTACAGCTACAGGTTGGATAGCGGAGTTGACTCCATTTGCATGTACATACTGGCGTCTGTCGTTAAGATGGGATTTTAGGTAGTCAAGAGAATGTCCTCTTATGCCATAATGATTCAGTTTGAGGTGCAAGAGATTGTGGTCAGCTGTGTCAAACGCTTTTCTTAGGTCGATAGAGAGCCCCAGGGGATATTCATATTTATTGAGAGCTGTGTATATTAGGTCAAGCATTTGTATAATAGCATCATTTGTGCTTTTTTTCTCTTTGTCTAAATCCAAACTGGCATGGGTTAAGTATGTTGTTGGATGTAAGGTAGGAGTAAAGTCGCTTGCATATTATTTTTTTCAAATATCTTGGAGATTAAGGGCAAATTCTGGTATCATCAGCTGTGATTTACTTCTCTGTCAGTGTTGGATATGAGTATGAGGGATAAGATGGGAGCAAGTACTGTATCTTGTGGAACATAATGATCATTAGTGTTATTGAACAATAGATGGAACATAATGAATATTACTGTTATTGAACACTGTAGATGGAACATAATGAGGATTACTGTTATTGAACAATAGATGGAACATGATGAGCATTACTGTTATTGAACACTGTAGGTGTAAGATGCTTAATAAAGTTCATGTTAGCTGTCTCAACAATAATGTCAACAAGGGGTTAAGGTTCATTTTTGTGTGCAGGTGGTGTTCCACTGGCAAGTTTGAGTCTTCAGCCGATGATTCCTGCTCAGCCATTAATACCTCTGGCTCCTATGTCTGCTGCTACTTCAACATCAGTGGCTGCAGCTGCAGCACCTATGGCTATGGCTCCATCATCAGTGGCAACTGCTCCCTTAGTTCCTACAGCCATGGTGCAAGCAGTGTCTTCAGTAGCACAGGCTGCTGCACCTCCTAGTATGTCTCAGCCTTCACAGGTTAGCAACACTACTTTTAGTACCCACCTTTAATTATTATGTTTAGATTTGTAAGGCAGTGATAGCTGATTTAATATCTCCTTCATTTCAAACCTTTCACCGTCACCTTCCCTGGAATTTAGAAAAAAATATGCAGTTGTAGAGAATCTTTGTCTGAAGGTAATGATGACAGAAATTCAAAATTCTGGTGTAATACAGAATTAAACAGGTGCAAAGTTAGAGGTTAGGAAGCATTTTATGCAGTTATAGTTGTGTCCACTTTGAGGCCTATTTTGGGTCAATTCCATTGCTGAACTGACTTAATTTCTGGCTGTTTTGCTGGCATGCCTTCCATTCTATTATGTACAAGAACTGGCTATTCAACTATGAGAACTACCCTATAAATTGCCTAGAGATCAGTAACAACCTCAGTTAAGGCATTTCAGAATGACAGAGCTCCAGAAAAATTTTCCAGAGTTATTGGCTACACCTCATGGATGAGAAGAGACAGGCAAGGACAAGGAGGAGGCATTGCCATGTGCTTTTCTGAAAGTGTACATGCCCAGCCCATTGATGTTGCCATCCCTACTCACCTGGTACCTCTGTGCTATCATGTGCAATGTACAGGCCTCAGTGGCAACAAGCAGACCCTTGATGGAAAATGTGGACTCCTTTTTTCTGCTTCAGTATAAATATCAGCATATTATAATTGTTGGTGACCTCAACCATCATCTTAGATAGAGGAATTTTGATGAACCCCTTGCAGTGTTTGACATGAAAAATTTTGTTGACTTCCCTACCTGTATATCTAGCTCCTCCCTTGATCTAATTGAAAACTAGTCACTTACCAACTCTTTAGTTATGTTTGATCATCTGACCACAAGACTGTCTTTATGACACTGAAGATTCCTACAGGATGAGTTGAAGATTTAACATGCACAACCTGGCTGTGGTAAAGGGAAAAACTGTCTGGCCCTTTGCTCTGAGCTCTCTATCTCTGATTGGAATGCTCTTCTCCAAAGAGATGTTGACAACCAAGTGAATGCCTTCACTGAACACATCCGTAGTCTCCAACAAGAACACATCCCTCATCAGCAGTATGTGATGAAGCCTACAGATGAGCCTCGGTTCAGCTTTCATTGTAGAGAGGCTGTTGCTGCTAAGTACAAGGCTTGGAGAAGGTATAAGAGGCATCCCATTATCTATAACTGAAATCTCCACAGGCAAGCCTGTTGGCAAATGGAAGAAGTCCAAAAATGGGTCATGTAAAGTAAAAGGACACAAGTGCAACTAATGTGACATTTTATTGTGGCAACGTTTCGCTCTCCAGGAGCTTTGTCAAGCCGTAACAGCTTGACAAAGCTCCTGGAGAGCGAAACGTTGCCACAATAAAATGTCACATTAGTTGCATTTGTGTCCTTTTACTTTACATATTGTCGGTAATTCTACCAACATTATTACAAAAGTGGGTCATCTCTAGTTGGGAGGGTGACACAGAAAGCTGGTGTCAGGTAGAGTGAGATCTAAAACCTGGTGGTCCTTAGTTAAGGACTGACAAGGTTATTCACCTGATGAAATTATTCCACCTCTAAATTGGCAGGATGGTACCATCTCTGCTAGTAGTTAGGAGAAAGCTGACCTCTTTGTTACCAAGATGCAAATGCCTGATCCTACAAGGGAACCTCCTTGGCTAGCTGCAAGAACTGTGTCAAAGTTGTCAGTGATGATGGTAAGGCAGGATGAAGTGTATCTTTGCCTTAAATCCCTGGACGAAGAAAAGGCTGTGGGCCCAGATAAGTTGAGCCCAAGATTGCTGAGTAGATGTGCAGGCCAGCTAGCAGCACCTCTGTCTCACATTTATTGGCACTGCTTATCACAGTATTGTCAATTGATCAGTATACTGTTTGGTGGTCATTTTTTTATGTCAGGTGGTGACTATTCACTAAGTGTATATTGACAACTTGTTACTCTCCTATCCTCACACTGTTTTCTTTATAGTAACACTTTTATAATGTATTCCAGCAAAGGGACTGCCAGTAGTGGTTTTGAATATTTTTTTCTTCCTGCAGGGTTTTCACGCAGTCTTGCCTAGAGGAAGTTTTGAATTGTTATTAGACTAGGTGCCAATTACCCAGTTTTATTTTAACCTTTATGCTGTGACTTGTTGGTAGCTGTGGCAGCCCTACTCTCTGTTTTGAAAATGGAAATAAACTGTTTTGTCACAGGATTGTAGAGCATTAAAAACAGAATATAGCTGTCATGTCGATCTATGCCACTGATATCAGTGTCCCTCAGGTAGATCTGTTTTGACTACAGCTTCCTCAGATAAACTGTGAGTGGTAAATTTTGGCCTAGATATGGGAATGGGTCTGTTCAGTGAATGTGCACTGTATAAAAAAAATCCTGCAACACGCAGTGCATGATGTGAAAAGCAAAACTCTGACCTTGTGTTTGGTTTAAAATAGTGACTGAGGTGTTTTCTAGGATTTGTTTCTGGTTTTATCAGCTGTTTCTTTATATCATTTGATATGTGGAATGCCTGGAATATCTAAATTGCTATTTTGGACTTCTTTTTAAATTGGATTTTTTAATTTTGTGTAAAATTGGCCTAATTACCAACTTATGTGCACTTTATGGTAGTTCTGATAGTTGAATGGGTGATTTTTTTGTGCTCAGTCGATAGAATGGAAGGCATACTAGTGAAACAACTATAAATTTGGTCAAATGAACTAATGAAATGGGTTTAAAACATGGCTCAAAGTGGGCGAAATAACCGATGCATATATTGTGCCCAGACAGCTAACTTTATGCCTGAGTAATTCCATAAATTTTTCATCAAATTTTGTACTTTTGTTGTCATTACCTTCAGAAAAAGAGTATCATTTCAGAAGAAAAAATCTTTCTTTATTTTGAAAAATGTGGACTCTGAGAGCAGTATTAATTTTGGTGGTCTGGACAGTGAAAGGTTGAAAACTTAACTTTTTGTGGTGTGTTTTAGTTCCTTTAAGAATTTTTGGTGATATTCCATGAGGTCTTGATGCCCTTGATATGTCAAGGTCTATCACAAGTCTCCTTATTTCCTCTCTTCTGTTTCTGGACTTAACATTAACATTTAGTTTGCTCTCTCTCCCAAACCTGGTACTGGTCTCCACTTGCTTTTAAATTCACACAAATCTCATGTTTAGCTTTCTCTTCTTATATGTTATCACTTGATTCTTTATTATCACTTTTTTTCTTCTGTGGCTATGAAACAGCTGTAATTTTTTCTACATCATGGCTAATATATTTAGTACAAGTTGCCTCTTCAACTAAAGGTATTAATTTTTGTTAACCTTGTGGAGCTCTAGTGTTAAATGTACTGTGCACATTTTCCAAACTTTTCTCTTCTTGACTTTTGACTCCACATATTAGTGGTTGAACCCTGGGTTCTCCCAGTGTTTATCTATTTCTGTGTAACTTGGTTCAGAATTGTCTGTTGCCTCTTCATACTTCATGTACAAAATGTTCATTATTTCATGAGTGGACTGACTTTAGAATTCATCATTTCATTGAACTTGTGACAGGAAATGTTGTATTTGAGGAACTGTATAGTCATAGTGACCTTTCCTGTACATAATACTCTTCAGTTTCCAATGTCCACTTTTTCTTAATCTTCATTTGCAGCAGTATGTTAACATAGCTTATCATTATCTCTTGGTCTAATTTGTTCTTAAACATGTTGCCTTGGGAAGTTCTGCATTGTGTAAAGTAAAAGGACACAAGTGCAACTAATGTGACATTTTATTGTGGCAACGTTTTGCTCTCCAGGAGCTTTATCAAGCCATTACAAACAATACATGGACACAGAGGATATATATAGGCTCAGAGTGAGGTGAAATACTAGTGAGGTACCATTTCGATGTTCACTAGTGGTGGTGGTAGTAGTAGTAGTAGTAGTAGTAGTGACAAAAGTAATACAATATGGTAGAGCAATTAATTCGTACATGAGAAAAAGGATATAAAAGCTATTACTTGGGTAACATAAAAAAATATTGTACTACTACTACTACTACTACTACTACTACTACTACTACTACTACTACTACTACTACTACTACTACTACTACTACTACTACTACTACTACTACTACTACTACTACTACTACTATACTACTACTACTACTACTACTACTACTACTACTACTACTACTACTACTACTACTACTACTACTACTACTACTACTACTACTACTACTACTACTACTACTACTACTACTACTACTACTACTACTACTACTACTACTACTACTAACTACTACTACTACTACTACTACTACTACTACTACTACTACTACTACTACTACTACTACCACCACCACCACTACCACTACCACTACCACCACCAGTGAACATCGAAATGGTACCTCACTAGTATTGCACCTCACTCTGAGCCTATATATACCCCCTGTGTCCATGTATTGTTTGTAATGGCTTGATAAAGCTCCTGGAGAGCGAAATGTTGCCACAATAAAATGTCACATTAGTTGCACTTGTGTCCTTTTACTTTACATATTGTCGGTAATTCTACCAACTTTATTACAAGTTCTGCATTACTGTTTAATATAGCTTTGCTCCTCTTATATCTCTGGGCTCCAGTACAGTTACTAATTCTCCCATTTTATAGCTGCATTTAAAATCCCTTGTTTCTTGAAGTGCTAGATCAGACAGGATATGATGGCTATATAAGCCTGTGGACTTGTAACAGCAAGAACCTCATTGATAAGGTAGTTAACAAGGAAGCCTGGCCACATGCTGGGTTGTAAGGGTAGAACAACCATGGAAACCAGTCACAGATACATTGCAGATACTGTGTTAGTATAGCCCTGCCTCTGCTGCTTCAGCAACCTTTTCACTGATGCTTATTGTTGGTGCATGTTTTTTTTTTTTTCAACAAGTCGGCCGTTTCCCACCGAGGCAGGGTGACCCAAAAAAAGAAAGAAAATCCCAAAAAAGAAAATACTTTCATCATCATTCAACACTTT